TGGGGGGGAGGGAAGGGGGGGTCGTGGGGTGGACAAGGGGGGCAGCACCAACCAGGGAGCCTCGGGATATGAGGGAGTGTGGGGGGGGCACAGTTAAGCATGGGGGGGGTGCCCACCCCACACGTTCCGGGTGCGTGGGGAGGAATGAGGGGCTGCTTCCCCCTGCCCTGGGGGGGCCCTGAGGTGCCATCAAGGCACGGGAGCCCCTGGGGGCCTGAAACACCCAGCAGCTCAGGGTGGGCGTCTGGCCGAGCAGGGGCCGAGTCTTCCCTTGCTGTTTCGGGGTCGGAACCGTGGGATCCGGCTTCACTGCGCTCCGGCCGGAGTGGCTGGCGGTGACGCCACCCCAGTTGCTGACTGGTTTTACTGGGTGGCTAGAAGGAGGTTTTGTAGGGCGCTGGCCAGGCTGGCCACCCCCTTCTCAGGCACTTGCCTCCCTGGGGCAGCGGTGGGACCCTCTCGGCAGGCTGTGGGGGCTTGCGGGAGGGAGAAGATGGAGTCCCTTCCCACCACCTCCCAGCCCGGCCGCTGAGCATGGGGCCCCGGTGGTGGCCCCTCCGTGGCTGTGCGGAGACCCGGCTGTCCCCACGGGCGACCCCCTAACCCGCACGTCCCAGGAGAGTTTTGCTGGGGTGGGGTGCTGCGCCTCGGCTGGCTGTGGTTAGAGGGCCCCGAGATGTCCCGTTGGGGGTCCTGTGTCCCTGTCTGGTCCCCAATCCCTGCTCCTGCTCTTGCAGCAGTGGCAGGTCCCCATGGGGGGCCGTTGTCCCCACCACCCCTCCCAGGGGGGCCATGTTTCTCCCTGGGTGCTGGGAGCAGCGTACCCACTGCCGGGCTCCCCTGCCACCCTCTGTGCCATGCTGGCACTGCCTGTCCTGGCCCTGCCGGTTGGGGGGCTTGGGCCCAGGGGGGTGTGGGGGGGCATGGGGACTCCTGCTGCTGTTTGGGGCCCTGACCCCCTCCTCTTTTTCCTTCACGCTTCAGGGGCCGGTGGAGCCGTGTTCGTGGTGCAGGGGCCCGAGTGGACCGGACGGATGGGCAGCGGCTGGCGAGGTGAGTGGAGTCGGGTGGAGGAGGGTTGTGGGGGGAGTGGTGTGTCACCCACCTTCCCACTCAGGGGTGTCATGGGCACGGTGTGAGATCACGGTGCCCGCGGACGGCACGTGATGGCAGGGGTGATGGTGGTGGGGGGACTGGCTCGTCGGCATCTCTCCCCTGCTCTCCCCCCCGTCCCCCGGCTGCTGGCAGGCGGATTGATTTCAGGTGACAGCTCGGCGGGCAAGACCATGCGGGCAGCGGCCCCCCCCGCCTGCGCCCCGTGCCAGCCGCAGCCATGTGCGAGATGCGATGAGGCAGCGGGGGACGGATCCAGCCCGTCGGCTGGCTCCTGTCACGCGGGCGTATGGCATGGGTTGGGGCAGGGGGGGCCGCAGCAGGGCACTGGCAGAGCCCCCCCCAGCTGGAGGGGGGCATGCAGGGTGGGAACAAGGGGCACGTGTGTGTTGGGGCTGGGAAAGAGCCTGGTGCCCGCATACTGGACCACCTGCCTGCCTGGCAGCTGCCCCCTTGGTGGCTGTCTCCAGGGGACCCTGCGCCCCACTGTGGATGCTTGGGGGTGGGGGGCACCCTCTGTGGGGTCGCTGCAGAGAGGCAGGGGCTCTGGGGCAGTGGAAGTGGCTGTCCCCACTGTGTGGGGCTGCCCCCCACTCTCCGTGGGGGCTGTGCTGGCAGGCGCCATGGGGCAGACAGGCAGGCTGCCCAGGAGCCAGCTTTCCGTGGGCCTCTCGGGATTCGCCTCCAGCCCTGGCAGGCTTCCCATGACGGGGTCACGCCAGGGCACGGCGGGGGGCAGGACCTCATTGCCGCTGCCCCACAGTGCCACCAGCACCCCACAGCCCCTGACAGACCCAGACTGCACCACTGGGGTGCTGAGCCCGGCTGGGGGGGGCTGCTGGTGCTGCTGCCCTGGGTAATCCCAGTTTTATTCTGGTTCATTTGGCATCTCCTTCTGCCTGCTTCCCTTTGGGCTGCCCCACGCCCATGAGACTGGGGATGGTGGCCAGGGGTCTGGGGGTGCCCCCGTGCCCACCTGGAGATGCTGGCAGCCCGTGGGGCATGGCCAGCAGTGCCCATGGTTCTGATGCCCAGTCTCCCTTGCCCACAGGCTGCCCGCGTGCCCCTGCCTGCCAGGGGCCCCCCCGCCATGGCCATCGTGCAGACACTGCCGGTGCCCCTCGAGGCCGCCGCTGAGGGGGCTGCGCAGCTCCGCACTGCCGCCTGCTCGCCCCTCACCACCATGGGCAGCGTCGGCAGCCTCCTGCCCAGCCGGCCCCGCCATGACCGTGCCAGCCAGCCCTGTGACGGGGAACCCCCCACCGCCTCCTTCCGCAAGCAGGAGGGGCTGCTCCGGGCCACCCCCAGGGACCCCCCATCTCCTGAGGAGCCCTGCGTGACCATGCCTGGCGTCAGCCACGCCTATTCCAATGGGGGCTTCTGCGGTGACTGGCTCGATGGCCCCTCTCCTGCCAGCCTCTGCAGCGACTCGGATGAGCCCCGTGATGAACCAGCCCCCAGTGATCACCTCCGGGGGCCGCCCCCCAAGCTTGTCCCTGTCTCCGGCAAGCTGGAGGAGGTGAGGGGGGGGCGGCAGCTGGCTGGGTGGGTGCTGGGGTCTTGGCTTTGCTCCTCGTGCCACGCTGGGGCTGTTGGCTTGGGCATGTGAACTGGGGCCACATGGCCATATTTTTGGTGTCCCCGGGGAGGTGGCCACCTTCATGCCCTTGGTGTCCCCTCCTTTGTGCCAGGGGTGTGTGTGGGAGCCCACCTGGGCACCCCACAGAGGGGAGATGGAGTGGGCAGTGACCGGCCCCTGTCTTCTTCGGGGTGCAAATGTGTTGGGGCTGGGGACACTCCCCCATCACCACCCCAGGCAGCCCCTTGGGAGGATGATGGGTCCCCCCCAGCCCAGCCCCTCCTCTCTCCCCTCTTCCCCTGGCAGAACGTGGAGAAGACCCTGATCCGCCCCATGGCCTTCAAGCCGGTGGTGCCCAAGCTCCGGAGCACCCAGCCAGGCACGCGCCCAGGGCTCTCGGAGAGCCAGGTGAGCCTCACCCACTTGCTGGGTGCCGAGAAGCCCGGCTCCCTGAGCTGCCGCGCCAGCACCCTCTCGGACTCGGGGCGCAACTCCCTCTCCAGCCTGCCCACCTACAGCACGGGCTGCAGCCAGCACCCCGAGGCAAGCGCCCTGCCGGTCACCCCCCACGGTCCCCCCGAGCCTCTGGGGGGCTGCCGCCCCTCCAACTCGGACAGCGGGCGCTCGTCCTCCAGCAAGAGCACAGGTTCTCTGAGCGGCCGGGGCCGGCCCTCCTCAGAGAGCGGCTCCTGTGGGCGCTCGCCCCTGCCCGGTGAGGAGGCCATGCTGGTGCGGGAGCTGGAGGACAAGCTGCGGGAGAGGGAGGCCGAGCTGCGGCTCCTGCGCGACAGCCTGGACGAGAACGAGGTGGCCATCTGCCAGGTACGCCCCTGGTGTCCCCCTGTCCGGTCCTGGCCCCCCTCCCCGGGGCACCTCGTGTGGACATCCCCCCTGGTTGGGGGGCAGAGACCCCTGTTGGGGACCCTCTACAGACCCTTGTACAGGGATGCTTTTCTCTGTGGGTCTGGGAATGGGGTTTTCCCCTCTGGTGGGTGGTCCTATATAGTCTCTGGGGGAGCCGTGTGTGGCCCGGGGGGCCAGTTGTAGATGGAGTGCCTCATCTTGGGGTGCCCTTTTTTGGATGTGCCTGGGACCTGCGTCTTCTCCCTGCTGGTGGTGGGGCTGGGCGTGCTGACATGGGGGGCACAGCGTGCAGAGGGATGGGGGGGCAGAAGGAGTGGGGCATCACCACACTGCACCATTTCTGGACCCCTCCCCCATTTGGGGGGGATGCACCGCTCCCCTCCTTGTGGGCAAGGGGTGCCCGTCTTGGGGAGGACAGCAGAAGTGGGGGGGTGCCATGCCGCCCCCCCCAGCATGTGTGTGCGCCTGTGTGCCCCCCACCCAGGTGTACGAGGAGAAGCAGAGGCGCTGCGAGCAGGAGCTGGAGGGGCTGCGGCAGCGCTGTGCGGCCCAGGCGCGGCGGGCGGCCCAGGCAGCACAGCGGGGGCAGCAGGTCCTGCAGCTCCAGGTGCTGCAGCTGCAGCAGGAGAAGAAGCAGCTGCAGGAGGACTTGGCCCAGCTGCTGCAGGAGCGGGAGCTGCTGGAGCGTCGCTGCGCCTCCTTCCAGCGTGAGCGCACCGAGCTGGCACCCCGGCTGGAGGAGACCAAGTGGGAGGTGAGTCGCCCTGCGGTGCTGGGCGAGTCGGGGGGCGCGGGCTCCGGCTGGTAGGGGGGTTCCCGGCCGGCGCCTGAGCCCCGTTGTCCCCGTAGGTGTGCCAGAAGTCGGGGGAGATCTCGCTGCTGAAGCAGCAGCTGAAGGAGGCGCAGGCGGAGCTGGCGCAGCGGGGAGCCGAGCTGCTGGGGCTGCGGGCTCAGCTGCGGGAGGCGCAGGCCCAGCTGCAGGCGGGCGAGCGGCGGGTGCAGGGGCTGCAGGAGGCCGCCCGCCTGAAGGCGCTGGAGCTGGAGGTCTGCGCCAATGAACTGCAGCGCCGCAAGAGCGAGGCTGACCTCTTCCGCGCCAAAGCCGGACGGCTCGAGCAGGAGCTGGCGGGGCTGCGGGAAGCCACTCGGGGGCGGTGGCCCCCCCCCGGCGAGGGGTGCCCCCCACCCAGCGAGGGATGTCCCCAACCCGGCGAGGAGCCCCGGGGCGGTGCGGGGCTGCGGCGGCAGCTGGAGCGGCTGCGGGCAGAGGTGGCCCTGGAGCGGCGGCGTGGGCAGGAGCAGCGGGACGCCTTCGAGCAGGAGCGCGGCACGTGGCAGGGCGAGAAGGAGCGGGTCATCCGCTACCAGAAGCAGCTGCAATACAGCTACATCCAGATGTACCGCCGCAACCGGCGGCTCGAGCAGCGGCTCCAGCATCTCCGGCTCCAGGGGGAGGACTCCCCGCCCGAGCCCTGTGACCCCCCCGGCCCTGACCCACCCTTCGAGGAGATCACGGCCACCGAGATCTGAGATGCTGCCTGCCCTCACCCCGTGTTCGGAGGGCAGGAGGGACCTCCAGCCCCTGGGATTTTGGGAGCTGTGGGGCTCCAGGGGATCCCTGCTCTCCCCCTGGCTCTGCAGAGACCGCTGGCACTGGGAGGGGGCAGAGGGGACCGCAGGCGCTGCCCCCTCCCCAGCATGGAGGTGTTGGGGCGAGGGTGCACCAGCGCCCACAGCAGCGAGGAGTTGCCTGTGAGATGTGGGGCAAGGTGGGGGCCGAGTCTTGGCCTCAGGGCCGCCCGGAGCTGGTTCCTGCTGATCCTCTTAGTGCCCGGGGGATTAGTGGCATTGGCTTCAGCCAGGGTCACCTTGGGCAGGCAGAGGGCTGGCTTGTCCCCTCCTTCTCATCCCTGCTGGCACTGTCACCCGGCCACTTCCAGAGGGGGTGGTGTGTGCCCTGCCCATGACGGCCTCCCTCCCCCTGCTCCTCATGTGTTTGTCAGGGGATTCGTTTCTGTGCCATTTTAAATAACTCTATTTTTATAGGACCTACCAAAACGTATCACCCTCTCCCAGCTCACACCCTGCCTGTCTGTGCCCCCCTCACCTCTGCCACGGGGCAGCTTGCCCTCAGTGCCTTTCCCATGCCCTTGCCCCCAGCATCCCTCTGTTTCTCCCCCCAAAATAAACCCTGGCCCATGCCCCTGTGATGCCCAGTCTGCCAGGGGAGAGGGGCACGGTGCTGGGGGTGCCAGCTGGGGACACCCCTGGGGTGGGCAGAGGTGGGAGGGGGCCCAGCTGGGCACCCAAGGGCGTAAAACCAAAGGAAAAGCTTGGCCGTGCCCAGCTCTGGCTTGGTCGCCCCCAGGTCTGGGGGGGGATTTTTGTACTTTATTTTGGTCGTGTCCCGTTCCCAGAGCCCGGCTTGCCCGTGTACCGCCTGGAAACGCCAATTAAAAACAAGCCCCTGGCTGTGGTTTTTTCAGGGCTGTGTCTGTGTGTCCGGAGCAGGGTCAGGGGCCACCTGTCCTCCTCCTGCGTTGCCAGTGGTGCCCCCCCTCGGGTCCTGCTGTAGGCAGCTCCTCCATGCCCATGGGGTGGGTCTGGCTCTCATACCCTGTGGCTGTGCTGAGACTGGCCACAGCTCAGTGCAGGAATGAGCCATCCAGCTCCTCAGGAGCATGGGATGGGTCCTCGAAGAGGGGGTGCAGCATCACTCCAGGGGGGCTCCAGGCACCCGCACTACCAGCTCCATGGGCTCCTTGGCTTTGTTGCGGTAGGCTTGGCGGATGATGTCCACAGCCCTCTGGTGGGTGACGTTTTGCAGGCTCTCCCCGTCCACCGACACCAGCTCCTGCCCAGCCTGGCCCCCGTGAGGGAAGGTAGTGGGGTGAAGTGCAGCTGCTTTGGGGTGCCAGAGGACTGCCAGCACCCAGTGGCACCATGGGATGGGGGGGGGCTGGATGCCTGCCCAGCCCCTGGGGTATGCTGGGTCCTCCCCATGGTCCCCCCATACCTTGAGGATGCCACTGAGGAAGGCAGCTCCCCCAGGGAAGATCTTCTCGATCTTCACCACCGGCTGCGCCCTTGACTCGATGCCACCAGAGATGCTGATCCCTGCAAGGGAACCATGAGACCCTCGCATCCAGGCAGGCTGGGACCCCCACCCACTCTCAGGCACGGCACCCCCTCCCCTGGGCAGCCGTGCCTCCGTCCTTCCTGCCTTGTTTTGGTAGGTACTACACAGATGAGGGACGAGGGGCTGGGGCAGGGGCAGCTCCTCTTCTCCCCTTCTAGTTTTGGAGGAGTGCTCGGGGTTTTACCCCCTGCCCCCTAAATGGGGTGCCCCTTGCCAACAGAGTGCCACCCATACCAGTGATGCTGGTGCCAGGAGGAGGGTCCCCAGCCTGTCCCCACCCCACCCCTGGGGTCTCACCCATGTGCCACCCACCCAGCGAGTGCTTCAGCTTGGAGAGCGTGACAGTGAGCAGCCGATACTCCTCCTCCTCCTCTTCCTCCCTGCCAGCATCCCCAGGGCCATTGGTGGCTGCCCCAGCCCCTGCTTCACCCCCTGGCCCCCGAAAGAGAGGTGCGAGGGGGGGCCGTGCCCGCCGGGTCTTCCCCACCACCTCGGCCCCTCTGTTGGGCACCGTCCCAGGGGGGTCCTTCCGCCAGGTCAGCCAGGGGCTGTACGAGTGCCCGTGCCCCTCGCCCGGGGGGGGCTCAGCCAGCAGCCAGTTGGGGGGCCGGGGGCTGGTGGCGGGCAGGGGCCGGCTGGCGCAGGTGTAGGCATCCACTGGCACGTCGGGGAGCGGGGTGTAGGTGCGGGGGTGAAGGCGGCGGGGGCTGGGGGAGGCCCGCGGCCGGGCTGGGCTCGCCTGCAGCCCCCCAGCTTCCTCCGGCTCTGCGGTCCCCACTGGCTTCAGCAGGAACCCACCCCGATAGTCTGTAACAAGAGGGGGTCAGGGATCCCCCTTGGATCCCACAGTCCCACTCCCTGGGACCCCTGCCACCCAGGGATCCCACGGGACCCCACAGCCCCACTCCCTGGGACCCCTGCCACCCAGGGATCCCACGGGACCCCACAGCCCCACTCCCTGGGACCCCTGCCACCCAGGCATCCCCTGGGGGACCCCAAAGCTCTAGGACCTCTGCTACCTAGACACCCTTTCGGCACCAAGGGCCCCAGATCTTCCTCCTCCAGGGACCTTCAGACACCCCAGCTCCCCTCCCCAGGACCTGACACCCAGGGACCCCCAGGCATCCCAGCTCTCTCCACGGACTCCAGGTCCTCCCCAGGACCCCCAGGCACCCAGGATCCCCAGATTCTGCTACTCCAGGGCCTCCCAGCACCCAGGGACACCAGATGCCCTCTCCCCTCGGACCCCCTGCACCCAGGCATTCCAGCTCCCTTCCTCCTCCCCCACATTGCCCCTGTACCCACTCCACCCTGCGCCCCCCCCACCGTGGGGCAGCCCGGCGGCCAGGCAGACTCCGTGGAGTGGCACTCACCAGGCACTGGTGTGATGAGGTGTCTCTTGGGGGGGACGTCGTGGTGGGCCGGGCGGAGGGCAGGTGAGCGCACTGCAGTCGGGGAGAACCACCGGTCACTCCCCAAGTTGTATCCACCCCTGCCCGCTGCCCCCCACCGGCCAAGGTCCCGGGGGGCCAGGCTCTACCTGAGCGGCTCTTCAGGGCATCGAAGGCTTCCAGCTCCAGGGGCATCACCATGCTGTCGAACCGGCCCAGGTCCGTGGGGGCCACCACGCTCCTGCCGGGGCAGAGAGAGGACAGGTTGTGGCAGTCTCTGGGATGGAGTGTGATCAGGGCTGAAGAGAGCATGTGTGGCTCTGGGTCCATCCCACCCAGCTGGGCAGTATCGAGGTACCCCCAGCACCACCCACCTCACATCCCGCAGCAGCAGGACCTTCTCAGGCCGGTCCAGGATGGCCAGCAGCGGCCGCACCAAATCCTCCACGCTGCCCTCGTGCAGGTACTGTGGGCGCAGGAGGGACGTCAGCGGACGGGTGCCCCCCACCCTCCGCCCCGTGCCTCAGTTTACCTCCCAGAGCTTAACGTGGGCACGTAGCGCTGATCGCGGTGCCCAGCAGGATGCAGGAGCTGCCCGGGGATGAGCCTGGGGGTGCCAGCACCGCCCTGCCCACACCCTGCCTGCGGTGCCTTACCCGGGAGCAGTGTCGGAGCACGGCCGTCACCTCGTCGGGGCTGAGGAGGCGTGCGGCGGTGTCCTGGATGTGTGGGAGCCGGGCCTCGGGGTCACTGCCGTTGGGCTGCAGGGCGGCGATGCCCGTAGGGCCCAGGATGCTGGCACGGCGGCTTTTCTCTGGGGGGGGGCACAGCAAGGAGGGGTGGCCAGCAGGGCAAGGACTGCCCTGGGCATCCCACAAAAACCCCCATGCCCCCCCCCCCAACAGATCACTCCATGCCAGAGCTGGACAGACACATGCAGCGCTGGGCCAGGCGCATGCAGAGCCTGCCCTGCAGCACCAACCCCCCCTGCCGGGCACACGGGCACCCCCGTTACCCCGCTTCAGGCTCCGGATGACAAACTTCTGCACAGCGCCTACTGCAAGGTAGATGGAGAGGTGTGAGCGCCTGGGGGAGGCCAGCGGCATTGCTGCCCATTGCCAAAATTGCATGCCTGGGGATCCCCGCCCCATGCCCCCCTCCATGCCAGGGATGCCACAACGGGTGCCCACAGAAGGGGGGGACCACTCCCAGGTTGGGTCCCTCTCTGCCCTGTCCCCCACCCCGGTACCTCTGTCCCCATCGGGGCGCCCAGGGGACTTGGTGCGTGCCCGGCGGTCGGAGGTGGGGAGCTCCTGGCTGGGGGGGGCCCAGCTCTGGCTGGTGGCACGGCCCCCCTTGAAGAAGAGGTTGACGAGGGTCTTGGAGCGGTGCAGCCCTGGGGGCCCCCCCCGTGCCCCTTGTCCCTCTGGCTTCTCCTTCTTCCGCTTCTCCTCTGGAGACGGGGGGGGGGGGTTGGAGTGGAGAGGCCAGGGGATGTCACCCCAGATGGTGTTTGGGGGCAGGGAACTTGGGGGGGGGGGGGGGGCTACGGGGGGGCACTGCCTGGAAGAGAGTCCTGCTGTGGGATGCAGCGGGTCTCCAGGTGCCATAGGACTGGGCTTTGGGGTGCCCAGCAAGCCCCAGGGACAGGCCTGGGGCTACACAGGGCTATAGGATGCCCAGGGCTGGTGGCCAGGAGTCCCTATGGGCTGGGGACTATAGGGTGCCAGGGTAGGGGCCAGGGACTCAGCTATAGGACGCCCAGGAGCAGGGGGCCAGGTATCCATGTGGGTCAGGGGCTATAGGATGCTTGAGCAGGGGGCAGGCTCCATGTGGGGCTGGGGCTTAGCTGTGGGACTCCCAGGGCTGGGGGTGCAGGGCTGGAAGGGGAACCCACCCAGGGCTGAGTCCCACACGTGGGGCCGTGCCCTTGGTGCCTACCAGCGACGGTGAGGTCGCTCTGGGAGCGTGTGATGGGCTGCCGGGGCCGGCTCAGCGCCAGCAGCAGCGCTGTCTTGGGTGAGTGGGCGAAGGTCCGGCGCGGGTGGGTGCCAGGGGGCTCGCGGGCGCCCTGGCCCCGGATGGCCGTGTCCCGCAGCAGCTCAGGGGGCCGCACCGTGCGACGTGTCTCTGGCAGCCCCTCGGCAGCCGGCTCGGTCTGCATGGCCCGCTCGGCACGCTCCCGTGCCCAGCTCCGCCGCGGCCCGTCCTCCGTGGAGATGGCTACGTCCACAGTGCGGGCAGGGGGTCCCGAGGCGGCTGTCCCCACCCCGTTCACCACTCCTGGTGCCGGCCCCGAGGAGTAGGAGGAGATGGAGGAGCTGGTCTCCGAGGCCTGAGACAGCTGCTGCAGCTGCCCGTTGGTCACTGCAAAGGCACAGTGGGGACATGGGGTGACACACTGTGGGGCATCCGTGGGGACATGTGGGGACCCGTAGGGCCACGGGGACTGCAGAGCTGCTGGCTGTCACATGGGGAGCTCTGCGTCCCTTATAAGGGACATGTGTGGTCCCACAGGGTCGTGGGGACCAGCGGGCTGCTGGCCATTGCATAGGGATCTTCATGTCCCCTCCAAGGATGGGGACATGTCCAAGGACTGGGGACAGGTAGGACCCTGCAAGTCCATGAGGACTGTGGGGATGCTAACCATGGCACAGGGAGCTTCATGCCCTCTCCAAGGCCATGGGACTCCCATGGCATGTGGACCTTCTCCCTCCCCACGGTGGCCAAATGCTGCTTGCATGGGGGTCCCAGCCCCGCCGCACCCCAGACCAGTGTCCCTGCCAGTACCCGCGCAGCACTGCCCTTACAGCGACTGAGCCAGCAGTACTCGGCCACCATCTCCTTGTAGGCAGGGAACCGTCCTGTCTCCTAGGCACAGGGGGAGAGGACGAGGGGGTCAGCGCACACCGGGCGAACCCGATCCAGTGCCAGCCATGAATAATGTATCCCCCCTCCCCTCCCCACCCGCCTGAAACCCAACCAGCCAGCAGCCGCACCAGCCCCGTGGGCTCCCAGCCAAGCTGGGGCAGCGCCAGCGTGGGGACATGCTGACCACCCCCCTTGCCCAGGGGTCCCGCGGGGCCGGGCGCGGGTACCTTGATGGTTAGCATGATGTGAGTCTGCCCCTTGAGCACCTCCACTGCCTTGCTATGGCTTATGTCTTCAAACTTGACTCCATTGGCTGCAAGGACTTGGTCTCCCACTCGAATGCCGTTCTGCTCCGCCAGCCCCCCGGGGTCCACTCTAGGGCAGCAGGGGAGGGGCAGGATGGGGCCGAGCCCTCCCTGGAGCTCTGCTCCTGCCCCACACCTCCACCCGGGTGGCCTGTGCCCCAGCACCCACAGTGGTGATGCCCAGTCTTATGAGGGGGCTCTGCCAGGGAGGGGATGCCGAGCCCCAGCTTGGGCACAGCAGGCATCGGGGCGCCACGTCCCCCTCATGCTCCCCAGGGTGGCCGTACTTGGAGACGTAGATGCCGAGGCCGAACTCCCTGCCACCGCGGATGTTGAAGCCCAGGCAGTAGTCGTCGGAGGTGGTGTAGAGGTGGACAATGCGCCGCAGCCCGTCCTCAGAGCCGCTCTCAGACGGCGTTGAGCCGCTTTTCTCCACCACCAGGCGCCTGTTCACCACATCCACCCTGGAGCACAGGCACAGTGTTGGGGGGGCTCGAGGGTCCAGCTCTCGTCCTCCAGCAGGATGGGCCATTGGCATCACCCAGTGGAGGAGAGTGATGGTGACGGGGGATGTTGAGGATGGGGCTTGCACACACCCTGCCTGCTCCAGACCTTCCTATCTCATCCTGTGCCCCGCCCTGGGCTCTCCCCACCTTTGTCAGAGACCTCCAATACCCCACCGCCCTGGGGTCCCCCCATCTCTGGGATCCTCCCTGTCCCCGAGCATCCCCCACTGAGCCTCCCCACCATGCCCTCCATGGGGTTGGGCTTTGGGGTGCTGGCGTGGGGGATGCCCTGCTCACCACGCCGTCTTCTCCTTGGAGAACTTGATGCCCGGCACGCGGCCCATCCGCCGGACCACCATACGCAGGCGGTTGTTGCCGGTGAGGACCTTGACGGCGCTGCTCATGGTGATGTTCTCCAGGCTCACGCTGTTCACCTCCGTGATCTTGTCACCAACACACAGCCCAGCCTGCTCTGCGAGGAGCACACGGCTCAGCTGAGCACCTGACCTGGCACCGATACCCTTGTTTGGTGTCCCCTCCCTACACATGTCCCCAGCCTGATCCAAACCCCACGGGAACAGAGGTAGGGATGCCTGGCAATCCCACTGAGGCTGTGGCAGGCATGGGGGGCTTGTCACCTCAGTGTGACTTGGGGATGGAGCTCAGAGCCATTGGCTCGGGGCTGCCCACTCCTGTCCCCTGCCCTTCTCCCTGGGAAACCTGAAAACCCCACAGCCAGAGGTGGCAGGGAGAGAATGGTGGCTTGCCACCACGAAGGGTGGCATCGTCGCTGCGGCACTGCAGCTTCTCAAGAGGGTCTCACTGGCACATGTCTGTCCCCACTGCTGTCCCTCGCCCTGTCCCACTTACCAGCAGCGCTGCCCTCCTCCACTTTGCTGACGAAGATACCCAGCCCGTGCTCGGAGCCGCCGCGGACGCTGAAGCCCAGCTTGCCGTCCACGCTCTTCTCCACCGTGATAGCATTGATGATGTCGCTCTCGTTGCTGCTGGCTGTGGGGACAGGGGACGGGACGTGTCACCTGGGCTGGGTGCGAGCAATGGCGGGGGGCGTCTCCCTTGCTGGGGATGTCCCCAGTCCCAGGACAACTCTCCCTGCCCCCAGACCCAGAGAACCCAGGCGTCCAGGCCCCCCTGGCCACGCAGGTGGGCAGAGAGCTGGGACACCCCACGCACCTTCGATGGGGGTGTTGATGAGGATGACGCGGCCCATGGGGGACGTGGCACGGCTGACCCGGGTGACCCCGTTGAGCAGGCGGCTCTGCTTGCTGAGGAGGCAGCGGGGAGCCAGGCTGGCCTCGCTGCTGGAGCTCCGCGACCGGCTGCCCGCCGTCATCCCCGACAGCGTCGCGTCCCAGCCCTGGGCCATGGCGGTGCTGGGCACCCCGGCGTCCCGGCGTCTGGCTCGGGGCTGGCAGTGTCCTCACGGGGCCGGGGCTGCCCGCCAGCCGGGGGGGGACATGGCATAGTCCAGCAGCACATGCCCAGGCTCGGGCACCGCTCCCTCTTAGCAGCGCGATGCCGGGGCCGGCTGGTGTGTGTGCTTGGCGCTGGCACGATGGGTCCCGGGTGCAGCGGCACAGCCTGGGCGGACGAGGAGCTTCGTGACCCCCTCTCCAGCCCTGTCCCCTCCCGTCCTACAGAGCCCCGGGGTCCAAACTAGGTGGTGCAGGGCTCCTGGGTACCACTATGGGGGCAGTGGGCACAGGCTGCCCTGCCCCGGGGCAAGGATGCTGGGGTGCAAAGGGGCTTTGCCTGGCAGCGTAAATCCGGAGTAGGGGGTGCAAAGGGGCTTTAGCTAGTAGCGTAAATCCGGAAAGGGTCTGGAGAGGGGACGTGGGGACCTCAGCTTTACACCGAAGAGCAGGACCTGACCGCCCCCGGCCCCTCCCTAGGGAGGGAGGCTTTGCAGCAGGAGGGGGGGAGAGCCCCTCCCCATCCTCCCCGGACCCCCTCCGGATTTACACCGCAGAGAGCTGCCGTGGGGCAGGGGGCGAGCCCGCTGCCCCCGGGGCAGTTCCCGTGGGGATTTTCCAGGCGTGGGTGAAACGCCACCACGGAGCTCCCCCCCGCTTCGTCCCCCGCTCGCCCCAGCCTGACCTCAATAAATAAGTGATGGCCCCGGCCAGGGGGGACACGCCGGTGTCTCCGCCGCCTGCCAGCCCCCCACGGCGCCCCCCCGCT